CTGGTTAAAGAATCAGCCATAGCAATGACGTTATTAAACACACACACACACACACACACACACAGTAGTGGCCATAGTAACAGCAGGGTGCTTCTGGAGTTTGATGTTCTCAAATTCAGTTTCCTCAGCAACTTATCTGAGGAAGGCCATGAAGACTTGAAGCAAGACGCCATTTTCCCACTCATAGGAGAAAAAGAGTCCAGCCAGATATTGTTCATAAAGGTTGGTGTGACCGTAGTTGTTCTCCTGGTAGGCAGTCACAGCAGTAGACCCATGATGTTCTGATCTCTTTGGCTCTGGTTGATCTCTGTAACCACAAGAAGCCATCGACATTCAACCAAGCAAGGCTGTGAGGATCTGCGAACCTTATCAACCATACTGCAGCCCTCAGGTTCCCTATTTAAAAGAGGAGTGATATTACAATTCATTTCTGGTCAGGAGGCTGGTCAGATGCCAAAAAATTAATCCTTGGCTGCATTCAGTCAGGGACATAAAAACCAAACTCGTTATTTTAATAGGAGTTTATTATAAGGACTACAAAGGCCGAAGGGAAATGCCCAGGAAACATAAATGTGGTAACTGAAGGAAGCCACTGGAGGGGTTGGAGTTAACAAAGGGAAGAGGTGGACAAAAGAAGCTTGGAGGAAGAGCCTGAGGGGAGGTGGAACTCAGACCTCAGAGGAAGCACTACTGAACAGTTTGTGCAGTACCTTTGAGGGGTACAATAAAGGATGGCTCTGAGAAGGGAAATAAGGCTGAAAATTTGAACCAAGTGTACTTGCCAAGGTAAAGAGCTGTTGCCACAATGACACTCCAGGCGCCCTAAGGAAACTTCAGGAAGCAAGCTCCTTCTCCCTCCTCTTGCTTTGCAGCCTTTCTCTAGCGCCCCCTATTGGCAGAGCCTAACAGAGTGCCAGCTGGCAAAGATAAATATAACCATACTCCTCAGCCCCAGCAGTCATAGGAAAGAATACAAGTTTCCAATTTGGGGTTATTACAGGTAATGCTGTTATGAGCATTCTTGTACGTATCTTTTGATGCACTTGTGCACTTACATTTCGGAGATATAGACACAGGAGTGTACCTGCTGGATTAATAGACACAGATATTATCCTTTCTAGTGAATGGGTAGTGCTATCTCATTGTGATTCCAATTTGCATATTTTGAATTACTATTGAAGCGCACCATCTTAGACCACTTGGACACTCTTTTTACAAAGGAACCTGATTAAGTCTCTAGCCCATTCACAATTTTCTTATTGCTCCATGGAGATTTTTAAATATATTCTTGATACAAGCTCTTTTGATTATAAGTATTGCAAATATCTTCTCCCAGCCTGTGAACTTGAGTTTTTCACTTCCAGTGGTGTCCTGTGATAAATAGATGTTCCTAATTTTATGTAGTACAATTTCTCAGGCTTTTTCTTTAGGGTTAGGGTTGTTTGTGTCTTCTTTAAGTTATATTTCCTTATTCCAGGATAGTGAAGATATTCTCCTATATTATATTCTTTTTTTCTATTTTCCATTTCTTTGTCCATATGTACTGAACTCTGAGTAATTTTTTCAGATCTATTTTCTGGTTACCAGTTCTGTTTTTAACAGTTTCCAATCATTCACTGGGTTCCTAATTAAAATATTATCTTATTAATTTCGAGAAATTTTATTTTTTCTCCAATTCTGTCTAGTCAGTTTTGATAACCTCTTGTTAATGCATGTCTTTTCAAATTACTCCTTATTTCTTTAAATATATTAAACATATTTAATGTATATTCTGTACCTAAAAATTATAATATGTGCAGTCATTGAAAGTTTGAGTCTACAGTTCGATGTTTCTACTGTCACTTGCTTATGAGCATGTTTCCTTCTGACTTTTAGAATTGTTTGCCATGAATTTTTAAATTTGTTGGAATTTTATCCATGGGAAGCCTTCAAAGCCTGGATTTGAAACATGCTCTTCCAGAGAAGAATTGTACTTGCTTGTGCCTGAAAATACTACTAAACCAAGACCACTTAAAATTTTTGCTCTTTTGGCGCTAAAAGTTTAAGGGCTTAGCTATCTCTAGGAGACTCCCTTCAATACCACCCGGAGCCAAGACCCATTTGGGTAAGTATCCTTATTTCTCTTTTGTACACTGAGGATATTGCCTTATGGCAATCCCCACCTTACCACAGGGTCTCTGGCCCAACTTCCCATTTTGTATGGGTCTCCAACACAACTTCCCATTTTGTATGGGCCCCTTTGTCTCTGGTTCCCAAATATGGTCTGTTAAAACCCTGGTCTCGGGCACGAGAAATCTGCAGATACCACCAAGGCAACACAGGCTTCAGTTCTGCTTACTATTTTTGGTTTTATACTTTTTTTTTAATCCCTTCTCTTATTCCTTTCCCTTATTTTTCTTCCAGTTCAACAACTTAAAACATACTTTTTAAATATTTTATTATTTAAAAATATGTTTTACTATTTTAGCATCATGTCAAGTGTTCTGCACCAGGAGGGTTTCTCCAAACATCCGGTCCATCACATTGTCAGAAATAGAAGTCCAACAATTTTTCTTAGAGAATATGTCACTCGTGCAGGAGTTCCATAAGGCAGGTAATTTCTATATCGGCAGTTGGTCCAATATGTTTTACAAACCCACATTTTTCCCTGTCCGGTTGTTTGTTCATGTTTGTTTAGAGTGTCTCTGGAGAAATTCATTCTATAGCTTGCATAGTTGCCATAACTCAGCACAAACTAAATGAAAGCTCTATAAGAATAGCAATTATTATAGTAGATAATGAGGCAATTATCCAGGACCACATCAAGTTGGGAGAACTGATCAACCCCACTGATACCCTTCTATCAAGATCAGAGCCATCTCTTTCACAATTTTGCAATTTAAGAAGAGCTAGGAGTTGTTTCAAACTAGATAATCTTACTGGTTGGGGATATAAATTTAAGTGGAGAAGTTTCTGCTCAAGCCATAGGGGATATTTCAACATAGATACTCTGTCACTTTAGGTCTTTGTGGGCAGCTCCTGAACAATTCCAGTTCTGACCTTGTACAAAGATCATCCTTGCAATGCTTTAAAGAAGAAAAAACCCTCCAGTAAAAGTGGTAGGGCAGAAAGACTGCCAATCTCTGTGTCTTCTTAAGCTGGAAAAAAACACATTCCTTCTTCTTAAAAGGGTGTTAGAAGGACCATCATATAATGATGGATTTAGGATTTTTACTGTTTCTGGGAGGCTGCTGATGGCTCTGGCTTCTTTTTATATGCACAAGACCAGCTTCTTTCCATTCTAGGTCTTAAATAAGTGTGGCATTAATAAGACACCCCATCATTTCACTGCTAATGTTTCTAACAGCTGGTTTCTTGGAAGGGTTTGCAATATCAAGATTTCTTCTACAAAGTGACACTGCTTTTCAAAAAGGGCTATCCAGTCTTTCCCCCCAATTTCCCCCATGGCTCACACATAACAGGAACCTGATGAAAATCTGTTAACCCTGGGTCCTGTAGACATAAAAAATGCAGCCTAGGATTTCATAAGTTTTTTAGTAACACGATTTTTACCCTATGCAGAGTTCCACCTTTCCAGAGAACAAGTNTCACCAGCCCTCATGTGGGATCCAAACCGGGCGCTGCTGCTCAGAGCTGGCGTCCAAAGCCAACTCTTAACCAATGTGCCACTCGGCCGACCCAGATACCTTTTTTTTAAACAGTATTCTGTTTTTATCATATGTAATGATTTGCCTTTTATTATGTATATTGCTGCTCTGTGGCATAACTATCTTTGCTTCCTTTTGCTTCCCAAACTGAGCAGTCATTAAGCACAGGATCTTTTAAGCTGTCCAAATTGACTTTTGGTGCCATATCCAACATTGAAATAAGAATCCTTGTATGTAGATCATTCTTACCACCTACAATTTCATCCTTCTGTGACTTGGGGCAACAGGAACAACTATAAAGGTGTTCCCCTGTAGGCAGTTTGTAAACCCCCTTCAGACAAAGACATCACAAAAAAGTAAAACTACAGACCAACAATAATGACAGTCATTATCTCTCCTGACATGATGTCTGGGGACTGGGTGGTCCAAGGTCAGCTCAGAGTCTTGATAAGCTCATTACAGGTCTAGATTCACCACCCAGTCCATCTTCCTGCCTTGCCATCCTCAGCATGTTGGTGATATTTCTACTTGGGGTTTCTTTGACACAAGAAAGAAGCTGGCGAAATAAAACTACAACCCTTTTGACAAACAACAAAATCCAGAAACGTAAGCAGATGAGGTACAGATTTGAGGCTGCTATTTTACAAGATAATTTATTAGCAAGACTTTGAAATTGACAGTTGCACTCTGCAGGGGGTAGTGTGAAACTTGTGGAGGCCAAATGTCTACAAGAAATTTCTTATAAATAGTAGAGATAGACATTTTTATGATTACAGAAAAATAACAAGCAGATTAGAAGATACTGCACAGATAAATTTTTCACAAGAGTCCTTTTCCTGAATGTAGGTCTGCTTAGCTCACCCTGACTGGACGTATATTCAACATAACTTCTGGGGTGGTGAAACGGTCTGCCTTTCCCCCATGGCTTCACAGCGACGAATACGAGGAGCATATAAATGAAATCATACACTATGTGGCCTTTTGTGCCTGGCTTCTTTCACTTTGGTTATTATGAATAGAGCTGCTATGAACATTGATGCACAAGTTTTTATTTGACTACTTGTTTTCAATTATTTTGGGTACATATCAAGGGGTGGATTTGTTGGGTTATATCATAATTCTATACCTAACTTTTTGAGGAACTGCCAAACTGTTTTCCACAGCAACTGTACCATTTTATGTATTTTGTATGGTTTCAATTTTTAAAAAATTTATTAAGGTTTATTTTATTTTCCAGGGCAGTTAGAGGAGAGGCTTGGTTGGAGTGAGTGAGGGAGGGAAGACAATGGAGAATATATATATATATATTTTTTTTTTTGGGGGGGGGGGTTTGGAGATTTGCTATGCAGTGGGGCAGAGAAATGTGGTGGTAGTGAGATGGGGAATCTGAGGTCAAGACAGTTTTGTTTGTTTGTTTTTAATGGGAGATATTATACCAGAGAGTATTTGTATGCTGCTATAAATGGGAGGAATGATCCAATGGTGAGAGAAAAAGCTAAGGATGCAGACGGAGACAGAGGGAATAACTTTAAGACGAGGCTTTTCAAAAGGGCAAGAGTGGGCGGAGTCCTGGCCACGCAGAGGACAAGCCCTGTCTATTGCGAACACTGGCACACCGCTGGGGAATTGGTAGGCGTGGTGTTATGATGGGAAGGTTCCTGCCTGATTGCTCTTACTTGCTCTATGAAATATGTGGTAAAGGCACGCTGAGAGGTCTCAAGGAGAAAAAAGGCATGGGAAATAAAGGTGCTAGAATGTGGGAAAGGAGACATATCAGGGAAGGTTGCCACACAGTGTTGAGTGTCCATTTGAGGTTTAGGATGAGAATTTCAAGGGAGGCGAGCGAGCACAGTTGTGTATTCATCTCCAATCATGTTCGGGCAAGGCCTGGAGTGGAAAGATAGTACAGGGTCAGAATGTTGACAAGCAGACACAATAGAGGGGGAGGGGGAAAGGGATAAGGGTATTTTTCCAGGGAGGAATTATAGTAATGTACATGGAATCTGGGCTGAGTAAAGAGGAAGTAAGGAGATGAGGGAAGATGGTTTGTAAAACAAAAGTGGTAAATACATGAGAGGTCTCAATAAGATTGAAGAAATATCAGACTGCAAGCACTAGCCTAAGTCAGATGGAAGGATAGGAGATAGGGATCAAATTATCAAATCAGAATGCTTGAAATTGAGATTGTGGAGATGGTAAGATTAGTGGTGATGACAAGGTAAAGGGTATGATCCTAGAAGTGGGTGGCTGAAGTGAAGGAAATTACATTTGAGGAAGTCAGGAGCTGAGGTCCCAAGATGTTGGATAATGCTTCTGGGGCAGACCAGAAGATTAGCACAATGTAGAATAAATACATTAGAAAATTTTTATAAGAATATTATGGCTGAAAGTGTAAGTAAAAATAGATTTTTTAATAAGTGACTTGTGTTCTTTTGCTTTCTTTAGACACAGATTTAAATGGTAGGAATTACGGAGGTATGTACTTCACTGGGTTAGGAAAATTATATACCATGAGGGATTTCTGGGGTGGGGAGAGAGGGTGGACTGGGTTTATAATAATTCATAGTGGTTGGTACAAGCCTGCTAGGGGACAAACATTGAAAGATCCTGGCCCATTAAGGTCTTAGCTCACGTTGTTTTGCTTACAAATTGCACAAACTTTTTGTTCATTTGTTGGGTAAGCTCTGCACACATGTTTACAATCTGGTTAAAGAATCAGCCATAGCAATGAT